TTTCATGAGCACACCTGTTCTCTGGCAGCGCCTCTGTGAAGCATCGGATCACAACAGTAGACACGGGATCTTCAGGGCTGCTAGAACACATACAAATGAGCTATCATGCTTTTGGCTCCAAAAATGTGAACAATATACTGCAACATATTAACACCACAATATAAAAGCAAATCATTGGTCTTAATATTTATAGACGGTCATGATCGTGTCTGTTAGCCACCTCTTTGTGTTCGCCAAAACTCCCTCCAGCAAATAGAAAGGGTCCTGAGGAAGAGAGATGGATTTATGAGTTTATGCAGGGCATCGGGGCGGCTCATAACTCTATATGAGGTGGACAATATACCAGCAGAAATTCATCAAGCAGAATAACTATTCAAGCACAGTTTCTTTTAGAGGTCGACCAATATATTACTTCCAACAAGTTAATCAGCATCAATAACCAATTTTTGGAAATACTGGTTATTAACAAAAACCCACATCTATAATTAACCATTTTTTTCTGGCTCCCATAGGCTTTCCAGCACCAGCCGCGAAGGAGTGCCTCTAGAGACTAAACAACAAGCCTGCGCACAAACACACCTGACTGACGAGATCATGCTGCGGGGCAAACAGGAATCAGGCGGTGAATGAAAAGGATACAGACAGACTGCAGACTTGCCACTACGCAGCAAAATATGAAACCCTTTTATTGGTGCACTTCATTACAACAAATAGCAAAATGATCCCATAATTAGGCCTGTCACGATAACTTTTTGTTGTGCGATATATTTCCCCAGAAATAATTGAGATAAACAATATTGTCATTTTAAGACCATTTTATGCCACTGAATATATAATCATAATATAACAGCATAATAATGCAAGAAGGCCTATACACATTCAAATGTGTGCGCGAGTGCGTGCGTGTTAGAGTGCGTGTATGTGTGAGTGCATGCGTGCGAGTGTGTGAGTGCGTGTGTGTGTATGTGAGTGCATGCGTGAGTGCGTGCGTGCCTATGTGTGAGTACGTGTGTGAGTGCTTGCCTGCGTGCGTGTGTGAGTGCGTGCGTGAGTGTCTGTGTGTGCGCGCATACGTGTGTGAGTGCGCACGTGTGTGAGTGCGTGAGTGTCTGTGTGTGAGTACGTGTGTGAGTGCCTGCGTGCGTGTGTGCGTGAGTGTGTGAGTGCGCGCGTGTGCGTGTATGTGTGAGTGTGTGCATGTCAGTGCGTGTGTGCACGCGTTTTTGTGACAAATGAGGACATAAATGTGTATAATGACAAAGGTATAACAGGTATTACAAGGAGAAGGTGACTTCAGGACATTACCGCATGTCCCCACTTTTCAAAACGCTTATAAATCACACAGAATGGAGTGTACTGAAAATCTGAAATAGCAGAAAGTCTCCTGTGAGGGGTAGGTTTAGGGGTAGGGTTGGTGTAGGGCAATAGAATATACGGTCTGTAGAGTATAAAAACCATTACACCTATGGAGAGTCCCCACTTTTCACAAAAACAAACCTGTGTGTGTGTGTGTGTGTGCGCGCGCAGCTCATGAGAACAAGACAATTCAACAGAAGGATGTGCACAGATAAACAATTCAGACTCACATTCACAACTTTGCTAAATATGATCTCTTATGGAACTAGGGGTGTAACGGCACACGTGTAACTACTGTACATGCAGAACCTAATATTAAACTCAGATACAGGACGGGTCAGTGTCATTTATACTGATATACCTTGCTGCGAATATACCATCATTTATTAAATGCAAAAATATATTTATTACAAATGTTATCGTCATGTGAGATTAATTACAAAAGATCTGTGATCGCATAAAGGCATTTAAACAGCACCATAAGTAATCCAAGCTGTGTTCAGTAAACCACGGTTCAAAGAAAAATAAGTTAATGTTTTTTTTTTAATTCTCTTCTGCTTTACTGAAAACATAGCAAACATATTGTCACCTGTGTGCCATCACACCCCTCGCAGGGACACTGAAGCCTGAGCAAAGAAACGCTGCATTACGGTAACAAACTACACTCGATTCATCATTTTAACCAGTATATCACCCACCCCTACAAGCCACGACAAACAACAGAGCATTAGAATCAAATATTACATGTCTGCATTATACCATGTATATCTCCATACTGTTATGATCCATTGTTTTATTTACCATACTGACTCCCTTCTGGATCAACCAAGACTCAGAAGAAACTTCCAGCGAGTAGAAAACCTCCATCGAAGGCAGCGACTGAACCACGAGCTTCCTAGCACGACCCTTAACACGGATGACAAAATGTGAAGATTAAAACCAGAAAACTGTATTTTTAGTGATTGTGACATCACTGTTTACACAAATGCAATCAAAACCATTCAACCCCACAGAGACTGTAATAAATTATTGGAACAGTTTAGTGGCATACTAAAGGTGATAGTCAATATATAACTTAATATTTTTTAATTACAGGGCTTATTTTTTTGTAATACACCGGTATTATACACAATTATTTAACCCCTATACACTGTTGCTGTTTATGAGTCACTTGTTTGTACAGTAGGACACAAAATTGTTAAAACACAAGTAAGCCTTTAGAAACTCTAAAACTAACTCTAATTAAAGTGTCTTGCAGCAGAAAACCCACAGAAGCTTCGGAGCACTTACTGGAGAATATTCAGAATAAAAGATTCGGCTTTTGGGGGTCAAATACTTCTGTACATGAGTGTTTAGAGCCAATTAGATTTTTTTTTCATCAACTTTACATTCTCAGAATTACTCAAATGTGTATTAATAAACTTTCTATATTAGTTTACTGATGCCTTTGTTGAACTGTTTTCATAAAGTTTTGTTCTCGGCAGCGAAAGGTCTTGCAGGTCAAAGGGGCTGAATAATTTTGATTGCATCTGAACAATATATAGATATACAGCAGGCAGTCAAAGCCTAATAACAGCACATGAAGGGTCCGGGAAAGCCACGGCAGTAAACATGTGAAACTAACCACCACTAGAGGGAGACTTTGCATCATTTACTTTTCATTTGTAGATGGTGTCAAAAATATGAAATAAGTTACCGCTAAAATTGATATACCCATAAAACAAAGACATAAAAATCCAGCTATTTGTCATGTTACACTGAAATATTTCAAGTGTGCTTGCTCTTTACTGTACAGTACTTCCCCATATTTTAGATTACACATTAAACATCTGTGCATTATGCCATAAAATAAAATGTTAGAAACGGTGGAAGTTGTAGTCTAGTTTCCAAAAACATGGATTTACTCTACATCATTTATTTCAGTAGTGACCACATGCTTTAATTTGCCACCAATACAAACACTGCATTTAAACGGTTCACACACATCCTCTGCAGGACTCGAGGATAAGGACTGAGCGATGGCTCGGGTCCAGCGTGAAAGAGATCAGTGACCGCTGCTCACCAGCCTTTATCACGTGTTTTTAAGCTTTGCTTGTTTANATGTAATGACGTTTGTGTGGAAATACTATGAAGTGTGTAAACGGCGTTCACAGAGAGCAGAGACACTGAAGACGAGCGCAGAGAGGAGAAAACACTGTACAGACAGAGCAAGATCACTGCTCACGGTGAGCGAGATGCTGGGAGAGAATCCTAAACACTGAATCAGGGTTTCTGAGGGGAACTGACGGTCTTCAGAACAGATTAGATGGTGTTTCTCTGCATCTGGGCTCTGTATAATGAAGATTACAGCAGTGTTTATTAGCGCAGCGCTGCTTTGTTTACAGCAGTAACCACAGAAAGCCGTCTGCTGCTGTCTCTCCTGAAGCATCATTTCATGTGTGTCTTTGCTCTATATATTCAGTTGTGCTACTGATTATAATTGGCTCTTATTTACGGACTGTTCGCTCGTCTTTACTAACAAATATAAAGTTCAAGCATTATTAGTTTTTGCCGTGGTGTGAAATTAGAATCGAGAATTTTAAGATTAAATTGATATCTAAAATGTTGATGTCATATAAGCTTATTTATTATAATAAAAGATTCCATGGGTCAAAAACAATGATAACAGCAACTATTTTATTTTATGTTTTTGTGGCAGTGCAAGTATAAATCTGCAGCACTGGCCCGACCGGACCAGCAGAAACATCCTTGGCGTCGAGCCCTGCGTTGCTTTCTGTCCTTTTAGTTGACATCTATTCTTGTGCCAGAGGCTTGAATATGACACATTCATACTCTTGATAAATATGATCAAAGGCTGGCAAAATAAGTCTGCATAGTTTATCCATTTGATCTTTCATTCAAAACGCTTTTTAAAACATGTAACCTTTAATTGAAGTAAAAAAAAGTGTGTGTGTGGGGGGGGGCATATATATATATATGGCCACAATTATTGGTACCCCTAGAAATTATTCGGAGTAAAACATCTCTAAAGTATATTCCCATTCATATTTACAATTTTTAGCACAACAGGGTGACTACGAACATGACATTATCCAGCAGTGACTTCCCGTTTCATACTTTGAGTGGCCAAAGACTCTCCAAGCTGGAAAATTGCAGAAAAGTCAAAAAATAAATAAATAAAATCAAACAGCAGCTACATCACCACACATTGTTTGGAAGGGTTTCAAAAAAAGAATCAAGAAAAGAAAATGAAATGAAACTCCAGCATATTCATTTGTTAGACACAACTGGAACATATATATATATATCACACACACACAAATATAGCTCATTACATACCTTGTTTTCTTCAACTACCAAGGACATGATTTTCATGCTGTTTTCATCTTGCCTGTTTAACACAAAATAAATGAATCCATCAATGTGTGAATTAATAACGAAAAATAAGCACCCTGTCTTTGTATGTCAAAATGAGACACTTGCTGTGTAATAGTTGAGGAGTTCCCGTCTGATATCAGCAGGAAATCTTCAACGTGTTGATCCGGCCAGCAACAAAGCATGACAAATGAGTGAAAGTCCAGCAAGCTGAGCATGCCCTGGAAAGAAGAAGATGTTCACATTAGTGGTCATTTACTACACCGTTTGTTTGGATAATGTGAACGCTGTTTTCTGAACTTGGGAGCACTCCCATGAACCACACCGAGTCTGCGGCTCAGTTCTTGCCAACTCTGGTCCAGTTCCTTTCTGATGTGAATGCAGTCATACTCAAAGTAAACCGCTTTCGATGATGTATGAACAGCTCAAACTGTGTATTCTCTCATTTTCCTGACAAGCGTGACTTGACGCCGCAAGCAGAGGATTTATATGTAATTTCTGCTCGATTCAGCAAAAATTGACTCCTGTTGAACCTTTGCATTACATTTGTGAGAGAGAGATGCATACGCAGCTCCGAGCTGGTGATTTGGAAACAAAACCCAAATGATCAAAATCCAGAGTACAGCACTGAGGCGAGCAAGTAACGCATCCATCTACAACCGCTGGCAACAACAATGGAATCACACACTGGTTCTGCGAAACATACCTCAAACTAATTAAATTAAAGGAAAATTGTTTTCCATATCAAGTAGAGGAAGAACTTATGGAATCAGCTTGTAATGTGCATTTCTGAAACAAACACGGCTCAACAACAACAAAAAAGCTAGTCAGCAGTTAAGAGAGTGCTTAACGAGCGTAAAAAGCAGGTCAGGCACACACTGGTCAAGCGAGAGATTTCAGTTGTTTTTTTTAATCGATAGATAAAATAATGAACTAAGTTAAGCATAACTATAATGTGTGGGTCATCTATTGTTCAATTTCTTTTGCTGTTGTTTAGTATTTTTTGTCGTGGTATCGGTTCAGAATAAGTATTGAGATATTTTAGTCAGGCATCGTACCGAAGCCGTAGTTTTGGTATTGTGACACTACCAGGGATAAGAACTTGAGTGTGGCAGCAACGATCAATTATGAAAACAAGGATCTTTCACGTAGGGGGGACCTTGAGATCAGATTAGATGGGATTAAAACAATATTTCTGTCTTTTATGAAAATAATAATAATAAATACAATTATAATATTCAAATTGTTTGACTTTCTAAAAATACCAATGTGAATGAAATGTGGACTGAGACCAGGTTTGAGTCCACTTTAATCTAGGTCTGCTCCGATTGGTAATTAAAAGGCTGTTGGACTCGTCAAAGTGTGCCAAAAAATTGCATTTAACTTTTAGAATTTTCTTCCATGTGATCATGCTCCCAATACCCCGAGAAGAGCTGAACTTATTGTTCAAGTCTGAGAAGTTCACAAATTATTATGCACACTTTTAAGGCTAGAAAAATGGTCCATCATCGTGTGCATCAACAGCAGTTTTCTCTTACCTCATTGTTTAGAACATACATCAAATTATCCACAACTTGAATCTTCTTCACCTCTGAATAGAGAAACAGAACATTTTACACTTTAACATACACACACCATATTTAGTAATAATAAAATGTAAATAGCAAGAACACATTTCGTACCTGACACTAAAGCAGAGTCGAGG